CCTGCAGTGGTTCATTTGTCTGCAGCACCATATGTCTTACGGCTGCGGGCACCTGTGAAGTCAGTGGTTTCCATCACCACTGCGACAGTTCATCTGGCTGCTCTAGAGGGTGACATCACGTCATGTGCCTGGATGAGATACTCCTCACGTGAGCAGGGGAAAGGGTTTTTTCATGCTAATCATTAGGCTCAAGGTTTGAGCCACATTGTGTTATAAGGGAGAAAATAGCACATTGGGGGGTATCCCGGGAGCTGCCAAAGTCACAGAAATACTAATTTACAAAGCAAGGTCTCAGATGGATCACCAAACCTTTTCTTATTTGTTCCTTTACTACTTACAATAAATGCTGTCAGTGAAATCAGTGGTGAAACCGTTGCTCATTTGTCACCTCTCTTGAAATCAATGTTTCGGAAGGAGGGCAGGCAGGTGGGAGCAGGCTCCGTGGGCTCAGTATCGCTTGAGCTGGCTGAGAGAAAGGCAAAGGGCATGGGGTGAGGGCATCGTGCACTGCCAAGCTGGGAGAGAGGGTTTCCCCCCGTGTGGGCAAGCTCAGAGCATTGCCAGAGCCCCACCTTTGTTTGTGCTCCTGTTTCAGTGCACTAAGCTGAGGACATGCCAAAGAAACTCCGTGATTAATCATTTTATGGCCTGTTTGTTAGACACAAACAAACCAATGTTCACCTTGCACGAAGGTGCAGAAGAGAGACAGGCTGGTTTTATGGGGAGATCAGACTCTTACATGAGAAGGTTTCAGCCCAAAACATTATCCTGAATTTCTACAGTGATTTCTACACCACCATCCCCCTTCCCAGTCCTTCGGGTTTTTCCTCCTGCTGTAGCAGGGAATGCCCAGTTTCCCTGTTTTGGACCCTGCAGCATCACAGGTTGTGTCACAAAAAGAGGCAATAAGGCTTGTATCAGGAGAAGCAGGACACAGGCTGTAGGAAAGGCTGATGAATCCTTTGGTGTTGGGGTGGTCTTGCTAATGTAAATGTGAAGCCATAGCCAGAACTTGCACGCTTTTGTTTCAGGATGTGTGATAGAGCCTGGGCTACTCCCTACTGACCCCAAGAGAGAGGAAATAGACTCCAAACAGCAAGGGGCAGTCTGCCCCTGTTCTGGGAATCGTAGAATCATGAACTGGTTTTTGCTGGAAGGGACCTTAAAGCTCATCCAGCTCCAACCCCACCAAGGGCAAGGACACCTTCCACTAGAGCAGGTTGCTCCAAGCCCCTGTGTCCAACCTGGCCTTCAACACTGCCAGGGATGGGGCAGCCACAGCTTCTCTGGGCACCCTGTGCCAGCACCTCAGCACCCTCACAGGGAAGAGCTTCTGCCTCAGAGCTCATCTCAATCTCCCCTCTGGCAGGTTAAAGCCATTGCCCTTGTCCTGTCCCTACAGGTCCTTTTAAAAGGTCCCTCTCACACAGCTTTGCTTTCCTGGTGAGCCACGAGCCCTCTCCAGCTCTTGCAGTCAGTAACTTTTATTTTCCAAGTGCCTTTTGTATCAGCATCTTCAGGGTTCAAAATTCTTCCTGGTCCCACGCAGGGTTTGTCCCTGCCAGGGACCATAAACTGTCACAGGCCTTTCAGATCAGTGTTGGGCACTGGGACAAGTATGGCTGGATTGGGAAATTTTGGGAGGTGACTCAGCACACAGCTTGGATGAGCTCAGCCCTTCCTGACCTCTGCCTCTTGCCCCCAACATCCAGCCCAGCTAAAAGCTTCCTCACCGAGGGTGATGCATTTAGAGAAGCCAGACAGTGCTCTCTAAGGAGAATGAATTTGTGTTAGACATGGCTGAGGGAAAAAACACTCTGGATGTGGCTTTCCCTTTAGTTTCGGTTGCAGGAGATGGTATTTCTGGACATCCAGCGGTCTGTGTGGGAAGCAACACACCTACAGCTTAAAGCTAGTTAAATCCCGCAAGGCACAGCAGCGCCAGCTCGTCCACTGCTCATTTCATGGAATTGTTAAGGTATGTGCTAGTGCTTGAAGTCTGACCAAGTGCACATCTGATTCAAAGCAGGGAGGTGACTCGTTGTCCCACAGAAAGCTGCTCCTCAAAGCCTCTCTTTTGAAATGACTTGCCCATCAGCAGCCGTATGTGGGACAGGGGCACCGCTGGCTCCCAGAACACTGCAGCCCTGAGGTCGTAGCTTTGGCATTGCAGAAGAGCTGTGAAAGCAACGTTTTGGTCTGGTGTCAGCTCAACACTGAAATATGCCACCTTGGGGAGTGGAGATAACCTCTTGGCATCTGTCAGCCTGGTCCCACCTGCGTCCTGGCTGCTGGGTGGGCTTCTGGTTCGTTTTAAAGCCAGAGGAGGAAAATCCTATTTGGGTCGTTGCCCTGTTGTCATTCTCAGCCATTTAGTGAATTCATGTGGGTTCCTTGGTTTCATTTCTCTGAAGCTGTGCTCCACACTGGCCCACCCTGGATGGTCTGTTTGCTCAAGGCCAAGCTTGGTTCTGTCCTCAAAGCTGGGATGAGGAAACAAGGGACAAACGAGCAGGGTCCCTGTGCTAGGAGCTGGTTTTGACCTGATAGAGACATGACACATGCCAAAGAGCATGAGAGCATTTGGTCTGGTAAAACGACAGACCTAAAACTCAGGGCATCATGCAGGGATGCACGTAATCTGTGTCTCACCCTGGTGCAGGGCAGTGAGGGGGCAAGGAACAGCTTCTGCCTTTCCACAGCAGGAA